TTCAACTGACATGCATTTATTTTGGTGTAATCGTGCCAAGGCCAAGGAAGGTAAAGGGTCACAAGTGTGAAGACATGGGTATCCTGAGTATATTGTTATGATTGGCTACCGCAGGGGCTCCACAGGGTTGAAAACGTTGATGTGGGAGACTTGTATGTATGTACATACTCCGCACGCCGTACTGATAAGCTGGGGATTTTCTAGTCAACCGGGGTTCATTCCCGCACACACCCCTTAACGTATATCCACATTTCCACCCAATTGTCACTAATGGTGGACTGGAACGAGTCCTGAGACCTCGAAGCGAAATTGGGGGTGCTTTTAGAAACAGTTGTTGGATGCCATTCCTTGGCTTATACGGGTGGAGTGCTGCGCGTTGTGATGCTCTTGAATATGGTACAATTAACCTGCGTCTGCGTCTGTAGCTGGGATATATACGCTCCTCCACGTGGAGATAGCACTAATTCGGAGGCAGCTTCCATTTCGATGGCCTTTGGTGCGCATTCTCGAGGAAGCTGTAGACGCTTGCCACTTACACATGTCCAGCTCTCGTACATTACCGCCAGACTCAGCTTCTTGATTGTGACAATTTTACAGTGAGCCAACAGATAGAAAGCAATAAGCGTACTGATATCCCTTGTCAGTGCGACGCAATCTTCTCCCTTCTACACAAACGTTGATTGTCCGAGTAAGTATGTTGTAGATTTGATCTTCGTCGATGAGGCTTACCTCGATTTAGGCATGAATTTTGTGATTCTAGTGAGCACGGAAGTACCTATTATGCTACTGATTTACTTCCATATCACCCAGTTCTGGACAAACATCGCGATCGGCTGCTCCACAACAAACCTGATGATCAGAACGCACGCCTATAATTATCTCATACCATACTCGATCTCATGATATATATATGCAGGTGGCTTATTTTGGAAGACCAGTTACCTGCTGCGCCTTTTACTAGTCCTCTTATCACTAGGCCATTGGAACATTGCTCACTCTCTGTGCGTATTGCTGTCCTTTAGTGTGATTAACTTGACTATTTTTAGTCCTGGCAACCGTTCGTGCATATACCATAAACGGGGTGTGTGTGATTAATTTTGTCAATCCTGCATATGCTAGTGCGCTGGTCTTATATGGTACGCATGTCGCATTTATGAATACTGGATACGTGATGATGAGTACCTCGGGTGTAGCCATGTCGTATGATTTGGCGCTTTTGATCTTTACCATTATTGGACTTTTGAGGATGCCATCGTCTTCTGCGCTATGGAAGACGCTCGTGAAACAAGGCGTGATATACTTCGTCCTCAATTTTTTAGCGAACCTTATCCTATTGGTGTGTTCCTTACTGCTCTACAGGTTGTCGCAGACTGAACTTTGTAGGTCCTGAATCGTTTGAACCTGAATCGTAAGACTGTCACTGCATTGTCAACGCTTACTCAGTGTATATCGTCAGCTATCATGAATGTTATTTTCGGAATGCCTGGTATGTTCCCGTGGTTTGACTGAGTTCATGTCGCTGACCTTTCGAAAGCGGCATGCATCTGGTCAGGACTCGTTACGACTTCCGGTTTCGACGCATGACTGACTTTCATCTGCAGCACGGTTGCATCTAACAGAGTGGTCCTCTCGCTTCTCCGCCCTTCGCCCAATTGTGAAAGGTCTTTCCTGTTTTTCATCTGTATGTGTCACTAGTCTCATTCGTGACAAATAGTGGCGGCGCCTCGTCGGCTGAAGTGCCCCCTCTGACGACTGACTTCACCGTCACAATGCTATGGTAATTTTTTTTTTGTTTGAGACACATGTATGGTAGTTCATCGTGCGCGTTCAGGTCCCCGTCTGTAGCTGAAGTCTAAGGTTAGAATTACCTCAAGTACTTCATCATCCCAAGTTTCACGGGGATTCGTATTTCGGCTTCGACGTGTGGTGGTGCACCCTAAACTTGTCTATCTTGTCTCCATAATGCAAGACATGCCCGCGCTCGCAAGTTTGATGGAGCCTTCATATATGATTAGATCTTGTGGAGGCATAAATGATAGCGTATGCAGACTGGACATCCAACTTGAAGTGGACATTCGCCAATCCTTTTAAGCCAGCAAAAGCACCCAGCCTTTTGTCCCTCTACGGTTACCGCTACGCTTTCATTTATAAGCGTAACAGTCACCTGAAAAATGTAGCACGCATATACCCGTGTTGTTCACACATGAAGGGACTCTGAGACAATGAGACGTTCTCGGGGGTCCTGAGTCTCGAGGGTGGAAGGCCATTTCCATTATAGAACACCGATACATCTCCCCCGATCATTTTTACACAGGAAGGTGAGCGGAGAGGAACATAGTTTTGTTAATAACACGCTAGTCACTGATTTTTAGTGCAACATGACTATCGCCTCAAAATCCGAGTATGTGTGGATGTACAATCGGGCTGTCAAAAATCCAAATTGGAACACCCGGAATGTCTCTGCTGTAAATTTACACATGGAACATAGAACAGCGATAAATGAATCGGGCGCACTTCTTTATCCTCCGTGCAAGCAATATCGATGATATGCGACGCTACATGGAGAACGTGTCGCCGGGGTAGTATGCATTGTAGGTGGGTATTGAAGCACTGGTAGAGGTTCTCATAGGGTAGTGGGCTGCGCAGGTGGAGCACTTGAACGAGCGGAATTCACGACAGCGAGCCCAGGTCTTTTAAGAAACTGCCGGGGATGTGGTTGGGAAATATGGCGAGACTGCAACGAATGATGTGAGTAAGATATGAAGCGCATGCTATTGCACGTACTTCATTCACTGCTCGGAAGAAATCAGTATCTTGCATGTAGTCATGATCCTGGTCAGGAATCTCTGCCTGTATAACCGTCAGTGGTGAAAAGGATAAAGAGAGGGATTACATATATGAAGTACCCGGTCATTGGGTGACTATGCGATACAATGCTAGTGAGGAAGGGGGCCCGAAGGAGAAAAAGTGTACATTCGGGATATTGTGCGCACTGTCCTAGCACAAGATGAGAGGTTGAATCGGACTGGGATGAGGATGAAGTTTTCAGAAGGGAGACCATTCGACTTTGCAGAACTGCAGCGTGTTGACGAGGGATTAGTGCCTGCGGCAATAGAAGATGAGATTGTAGTCACATATCACAATATACAGTCTGAACGACGGTAGACGCATAAGTTGTACTACATACGATCAGGTACCACCGGCACGACCGGCACCTGCTAAATTTCAAACTCCTCGCTTCGCCCTCTCCGAGATCGACCAGCCTGGCTACACCACTCGAGTATCCTTGGTGGTATATGCCAGGCTGGTCACGAGCCTACGTGACTCTGCCATCTGCCACGTTGGCAGAACATGGTTCTGCCAAGTTCTGCCCGCAACAGTGCCATCGCCGACTCCGACAGAGGGACTCGAAAACGAACACGAACTTACTTGTTCCCCCAGCGCGTCATCAGGTACTTCCCACTCTAAGAACTGCTTATCCGGACCTCCACTGAGAATGTGCTTGTCATCCGTAGGGAAGGTGGCACAATATACCCAGTTAGAGTGCTGGAAGACGGTGATAGTTCGTCGATCCGAGAGTCGCCAGAGGCGCACATGATTATCACTACATGCAGATGCGACGAGAGTGCCAGCGGAATTGACAACAATTGCGTTGATGATGCTAGTGTGGCCGGTCCAGGAATGACCGACTTGCTTCCCTTTTGATGGATCTCATTCCTGTATGGTGGGGTCATCTATATCGTCTGCTAGGGGGAGGCATGTGCTATCTGGCATCTGAGAGACGTCACACGTCTAAAGAGACAAGGACTTCGTAAGTCCCCAGTCGAGTATGAACAGACTTATATAGTATGTACCTAAAGAGACAAGGACTTCGTAAGTCCTGTACTACGTCAGTAAGGAATGTGAGTATCATATAGTGAGACTTACCCCAGTCGAGTATGAACAGACTGGGGAAGAAGGGGAAAACGAGACGAGCGAATGTACCTGGAGCGGAGTTACCGTATTTAGTAAGTATGTTGAAGGTAGTGAACGCGACACCAAACAAAAAGAAATATCTATACTACTATGTTGACGGATTGATTTCCAACACACCCCCTCAATCTGGCAACAGACCTATCTCGTCAATCATTTTCTGGAACGCGAGACGTGCGAGTGGTTTCGTGAGGCCGTTGGCGAGCATTTCGGCTGATGGGATATGTATGAGCTCGAGAGTACCATCTTCGACGCGTTCGTGGACGAAATGGTAATGAATGTCAATGTGCTTTGTGCGTGCGTGGAAACGCGCTTCCTTTGCAAGGCTAATGCATCCAGTGTTATCGATGAATATCTCTGTGCCAGGATCTTTGTCATACATTCCGATATCACGCAACAGATATCCCAGCCATATTGCCTGTTTGGATGCATGTGAGAGGGCCATGTACTCTCCCTTGGTTGACAAGGCTGCGATGGTGGTTTGTTTCTTGCTATTCCATGATATGATGCGATCGCCAAGGGTGAAGATGTATCCTGAAATTGACTGGTGGTCGTCAATATCTTGTGCCCAGTCTGAGTCACTGTATCCGGTGAGGACATCTGCATTCTCGCTGTTCTCCCCGAGCATGAGGCAGAAGCTGTGTGTGCCTGCAAGGTAACGTAAAATGCGCAGTGCAGCTCTCCAATGTGCCTGCCCTGGATTTGCACTGAATTGTCCGAGGTGGCTGCTGGCAAATGCAAGATCCGGGCGCAAGACCATTGCAATCCAAGTGATTGCTCCGATGAGTTCACGGTATGGTAGCTTCTTCATCTCCGCAGCTTCTTCATCTGTTTTAGGGCCATCTGCCCTCGATAGGACGGTATTTGGATCAACTGGCGTCTGTACAGGGTTGCATCCGTCCATTCTAAAACATTTGAGGATTGTGTTGATGTACTGGGCTTGTGAGATAGCGATGGAGTGATTCTTGCGATCGTCGGTGAGCGTGAATCCCATGAGCCAATCTGGGTCTTCTTCCTTCATCTCAAACAGTTTGTGTAGCTCGGCACGAGTCTCCACAAGTGTCTCGATACTGCTAGAGACAGTAATGGCATTGTCCACGTGCCATGCTATGATTGACGTGCCTGTCTTCGTATGGCGGGTATACACTGCATGGTCAGAGGCACAGCGGACGAAGTTGCGGGAGATTAGTGCCTGGTGCATATGTTTGTTCCACAGGTGCGAGCCTTGTTTGATCCCATAGAGGCTAAGTAAGAGTTTTGTGACTCTGTCGGTGCCATCGCTGAAACCTTCGGGTTGTCGCATATAGATTTCGTGGTCAATCTTACTGTGGAGGAATGCCCCGGTGACGTCGTCTTGTCCTCGGTACCAGCCATGTGAAGCTGCAAAGTGCAGTATCATGCGAAGTGAGTCGAGTCGGACAGTTGGCGAGAATGTGTCACTATAGTCAACACCTGGGATCTGTGAATATCCTTGTGTGACAAGCTGTGCCTTGTACCGTGTGATTTCGCCATCTGGGCCAAGCTTGAGGGTGTATGTCCATCGGCACCCTATGACTTTTCGATCCTTTGGCTTCTCGACTAGCTCCCATGTACCTCTTCTCTGCAACATCTTGATCTCCTCATGCATTGCCTTCCACCATTGGTCTGCCTCAGTGCAGGTAGAAGCTGCCCGAAAGTGTTCTGGGGTTCGTTGGCCATAGGCTGCAAGATAAGCGAGCTGGGCAACCTCACCGACAGTGGTATTTTCAACCAGTGGTGTGTTGGTGTTGTTTTTACGTTGCCTTTGGGCTCGAGTTTCTCATCTTGCCTTCTGATCATTCTTTTCCCTCTCAGACTTGGCTTTCTGGGTGTCCACTGCTTGTTTCTTCCACGATGGTCATGTGACACGCTCTGAACGTCGAGGTTGAGCTGGTGGAGTAGCTGGTGTAGGCATTGGGGGTTCTTTGACGAGCATTGGGGGTTCTTTGGCGAGTGTTGGGGGTTCTTTGACGAGCATTGGGGGTTCTTTGGCGAGTGTTGGGGGTTCTTTGATGAGTGTTGGTGTCTCATTCGTGGTTGGATTGGCATCTCCATCCATCACCCCCTCAGTCCAAGTAGGGGAGTCAACAATGGTAGTCAATTTTGGCACCCCCTCACTCGGAGTGGAGATATTAGGAGTAGGGACAGGTTCATTGTCAAGTTGGCTGAAGATTTTCTCATAGACTATGACATCACAAGACGAGATGAATTTGTGTTTAGAGGGAATCCAGACCTTGTAAGCTTTAGAGCCTCGTTCAAAACCACAGAGGATACCGTCAATGGAATGAGCCTCAAGCTTCTTCCGAAACTCGGGAGAGACTCGGACATGACAGCGAGAGCCGAAAATGCGGAGGGTAGATACATCTGGTTTACAACCATGGAAAACTTCATTGGGGGTAATTTTTGAGAGTGCTTTGGTTGGGCTTCGGTTCCGGACATAGCTTGCATACTCATGTGCTTCGGGCCAGAAGCATTTTGACATGCTGGCATCTTCAAGCATTGCAAGAGCATGTTCGTGTGTGGTTCGGTTGAAGCGCTCTGCAACTCTGTTTTGCTGAGGTGTACGAGGGGCTGAAAATTCGTGTGTGATGCCCTTCTGCTCAAAATAACTTCCCAGTGTCAAGTTGATGAATTCACCCCCATGGTCGGAGCATACTATCTTGACATGATGTTCAGTGTATGTCTCGAGTCGTTTGATGAGTGCCTTGATGAAGGCTGGGGCTTGGTCCTTCAACTTCAAGTATTCTTTCCACCCTTTTCGACTATGGTCATCGACAATGGCAAGGGTGTAGAGATAGCCTTGAATGGATTTGTCGAATGGACCTTGGAGATCCATATGGATGCGATCAAGAGTTTTCTTTGCTCGAGTTGCAGTAGATGGGAAGGGGGCCTGGGGGTGTTTCCCTTTCGCACATCTGTTGCATGGTGGGAGGTCACCATTGCCTCGGAGGTCCATACCTGTCATGAGGTTATGTCGGGTGAGGTAGTGGAGGTTATCGAGGCTGATATGGGCAAAGCGAGCATGCCATAATTCGAGGTTGGGTGCTGAACGGGTAGAGAGGGCAATATCGTGTCTCACAGTGGGTGGTGCAATGACACTATGGATCTTGTATAGGTTGTTGGTTAGTCTTCCCTCCATCACAATCTTGCCATTGGGTTTCTTAATGGTGAGTCGCCCATTTCACTTCATGATCTCCATCCCTTTTCGGTCCATATGGCTTTCTGACATCAGGTTGTCA